CAATGGCCCACCCTCACTGCAGTATCTCAGTGCAGTCTGTGCTCAGTAGTTGTTGCGCTTGTCCTAATCTCAGTACCAGTGGCTTTCATTATTATTTTATAAGTTGGGTATGTGACCGTGGTAAACAATTTAAAAGAAAGGCTTTATGTGCAATACAACACCGGCGCTACTTCAAGTCGAAATTTGCACTGCGTCAGACGCACCGGCAGCTCTCAAGGCTGCTGCCCAAGTAAGACAAGCACAGAAGGCAAGTTGACGACAATTTCAGTACATGCAATGGTGCAAGACAAGGAATAACAACAAAGATTGGTTGTTTGAAGACATTCCTAGCAAAGCTTATTAGTAACAAACCATTTTCGGGGAAGACAATAACGTTTGGACCAGAAAGACGCTCTGTGCTTTTTCGTTTGATCTGGGTGGGTGCTGGCTCTGCATGAATTGAGAAGGAGGTGATGCCATTGTATCTTTGTCGTACCCGTGTGTAAAGCTGTAAAGTGGTCATTGTGAGAAATATTGTTCTACCTACCCTGAGTGAAACGAATCTTATCATTTTTTTAAAATTTCAATGTGGAAGTTAAAGTTTTTTTTCTTTTTTTTTTTCTACAAAATCCACATATCTCCAGACACTGGGGTGAATGATGGAGTGTGGTGGTGGGGCCCATTAAGCTCCGCCGACCAGAGGTCTCGGCTTCATAGCTCCATGGACGCACCAAAGGGATATTGGGTGGGGAGGATTAAATTGTAAAAGAAAACAGAAGAAAGAAAATGGAAAGATTGTATTGCTCAGTGAGCAAAAGAATAAGTTGAATATTGATGTGAACGCTGTTAGACTTTTAAATTCAAGAGGAGACTGTCCGTGAGGAGAGATTACATGTATGTCCAAGCAGGGTAGGACACTGTACCCTCTTACTCGCGTATGCTATGAGTGGCCCAGTGCCAGTTCGTTCTGAGGAGATGGTGATAAGCTGCTGTCTTGAACTTTTGGATGTTCTTTGGGTGAAATGGGTGGGGAATGATAGAGGTAGGCAGCTGGTTCCAAATTGGGATGACGGAGTGGGGAAAGACTCGGCTCACATTGTTCCGGGAATTGGCAGGAAGAACATTCTGTAACTGATGGGGATGCGCGGTGGACAGTCGTACAGCCTGGTGGGTGAGGCGTGTGGTCCTGGGTTGGTGTGTCGGGGGTGGAGCCACTCTCGAGAGAAGAGCGGGAGAATTATCGCAAAGGGCTTTATACAGGAGGCAGAGGGCAGCGATGGTGCGGCGAATTATGAGGCTAGGAAGCCAGCATTGCGGATGTATTGCCTTGATGGCTCGCTCCTGCACCCAGTCCAGCCGATTCAAGTGGGAAGGAGCTGCCCCCATCCAGACGATTGGGCAGTACTCCATAACCGGCCGGACAAAGGCTTTGTAGGCTCGAAGCCGGGCAGGAATAGTCAGCAAGTGAAATGCCTTGCGCAAGGCTCCAAGTCTCTGCGTTGCTCGGACTACAACAGTTCGGATATGCTGGCTGAATTTTAGCTGATGGTCAAACGTGACGCCGAGTACTTTGATGGAGGGCTGCTCCTCGACAGGAGTTCCATTGAAGACAATGGGGGGTATTGGCCAGTCCCGACGATGGTGGGAAATTGTAAGGGCCTGAGATTTGGCTGGCTCGAACTGCACTTTCCAATCCGAGCCCCAACTGGATACTAGGTCGACAGCAGCCTGGAGTACTCTAGCGTTGACAGGAACAGCAGCGAGCGTTGCAATTTCGGCGTATAGGGTTGTGTCATCGGCGAATGAGGCAAGGTTGGAGCCGATTGGGAGGTGGTCTTCAAGGTCGTTGACGTAGACCAAGAATAAGGTGGGCCCCAGGATACTGCCCTGTGGCACCCCAGCCTTAACTGGGCGTCTGGCTGATGTCTGGCCGGAGATGAGGACTTGAAGTGTGCGGTTGCAGAGGTAGTCTTGGAGCCACCGATGCAGGTCTCCCAAGATGCCATACACTCTAGCCTTGTGCAACACACCAGTGTGAGACACCCGGTCAAATGCTCCAGCAATGTCGATGGCCAGCACTCGAGAAGCTCCTTTATCTCCGGCGGTGTGCACCCACTGGTGGTGGAGAGCAGTCAGCAGGTCTGCTGCACTGTGGCCGCGACGGAATCCAAATTGCCGTTCTGACAGGACGTGATTCGTCTCCATGAAGTTGCTCATTGCCCTGTTGACTATGGTCTCCATGACCTTGGAGAGGATGCTCAGTAACGACACTGGTCGATAGTTTGATGGCGACGATTTAGACTTGCGCTTGTGGACTGGAACTACGTTTGCAACCTTCCACTGTTGTGGCTGGATACCGGAGCGAAGACAGCATGTAAATAGTTTTGAAAGCGGCCGTGCCAATTCTGCAGCGCAAGCTTTCAAGACGCGGGCAGGTATCCCATCTGGACCAGTGGCCTTGGTGGGGTTGAGCTGGCGGAGAGTTCGCTCGACTGTGGTTTCGCGAAACCGGACGGTGCAGAGGTTGCGGTCAGTACGTGGTCGGACGTAAGGAAATGGAGCGGATAGGTTGTCTGCCCTAGACTGCATTTGTTGGCGAAGTGTTCGGCCATGCACTCTGCTTTGCTGCGGTTGGTGTCGCGCTCCGTACCATCGGTGCTGCGGAGAGTAGGTATGGATGGGCTGTTTCCGTGGCCAGAGGCCTTCTTGATGGTTCGCCACCATTCACCAGACGCCATACACCCAGAGGCTAACTTCTGCGCCAGGCTTGCTGTGAATGCCTGCTTGGCAGTTGCCAGGCAATGGTTAGCCGAGTGCTTGGCGACATTGTAGCGGGCTTGCAGCTGGGCACTTGACCGGTCGGCGCAGAGTCTCCTCCATGCTCTTTGTTTCTGTGCTACAGCCTCAGTGCATTCCGGTGTCCACCAAGAGGGGTTAGATGGTTTCATGCACAACTGCTTTATAGACGGTATGTATCGGCGCATTCCTTCCAGAATATTCTGGGTCAAGTGCATACACATTGCATCAGGATCATCACTGACAGTGGACTGCCAATCTGTTGTTCTAAAGAAGTGGCGGAGTCTGTCCCAGTCTGCGCGTTGGTAACGCCAGACAGTTCTGGTCACTGGTGGTTCCTCTGCTGTACTTACATGAAAGTCAGCTAGGACACAGGCATGGTCAGAGTTTCCCAGAGGTGCTAAGGTATTGACGGTCGCATCTCCCGGTAGGTCAGTCATTATTAAGTCGAGTGGGTTAAGGCCCCTGGTGGGCTCATGCACGTGCTGCTCCAAGCAGTGAAAAGCACACATGTCTTCAGTGTACACACCTGCATGAGTTGTCTTGGTGCTGCCGAGCCAATCCACGTTGTGTACGTTAAAATCTCCAGCCAATACCACATATTGACAAGATTTACGGGCCAGGTCAATGCCAGCACTGATGGCTTCAAGAGTACTAATGTCATTGTCGTGGCAGGAGCCAGAGCGATATGCAGCACACACAGCCACTGACTTCTTATCCACAGTTCTGACACTCAGCCAGATTAGCTCCTCATTACCGACCTGGATGTCATCGAGTTCTCGGAGGGCCAGACTGGCTTTAACCCAAACCGCAACTCCTCCTCCATGAGCTGTTCGATCCTTCCGCAGTGGGGAGTAGTACCCAGGCAAGGACAGTTCGGAATCAGTAGCCTTCTCAGGGGTTAGCTTGCTCTCTGTGACAATGGCAATGTCAGGTTGGTGAACGTGTACAGCATGGTGAAAGTCACCAAGTTTACTCAGTAGTCCAAATGTGTTCGTCAGCAGGATCCGAAAGGATCTAATTGGAGCTTTGAGCTTGAGTGTCGGAGGACTCGGAGAGAGCGTCACTGTGTGAGCCGGACAAGGTGTCCCCCTTTGGAGCATCACTGAGAGTGTCACTGTGTGAGCCGGACAAGGTGTCCCCCTTCGGACGCTCACGGTGGCGCCAAACCCGCGCGTACAGTGGGCGAGGCCAAAAGTTTGGCGCAGTGGCGATTTCAAGGTCAGTCGCATCGATCATCAAGCGGGCAGACACTTTCCCATCTTCTGTGGTGTGTATGCTGCACTGGTGAACCTTCACCGGTTTGTTTACTGCTGCAGAGCGTTGCTCAGTGAATTCCTTGACACTTTCTTCACTGCTATGTGAGTTCAAATTGCCCACATAGATTACGGCTTTCTTCACTCTGTGAGGTTCGTTTGATACCAGTTTCCACGTGTCATCCATGATTGGCTCTAGCTTCAGTGGCTTGGGCTTGACAGTGGGCCGCTCAATTGCCTGGGACTTGTTCTCATCCTCCGTTGACGTTTCATGGTCACAGGCAGGGTCACCCACGCTACGGGAAGTGCTACGGTGTTCGTCTGCATCAGTGGTACACGTGGCAGCCTGGCCTGCGCGAGTACGGGTACGCTTGCTGGTTCTTCCCGCTGTACTCTACATCGTACGCTGGCTGTGCTGGTTGTGGGCAACTGCTGGAGGAGTCAGGGGAGAAGCACTTGCTGCGACAATGGCGGACTCCCTGAGGGCGACAACCTCCTCGTTCAGGCCTGCAATTTGCCTCGATAAATCATCAATCCTATTCTTTAGTCGTGTCTCGCGGTCTGCGGACTCCGTCACAAATGTTGCCAGCGTCTTTACTACGTCTAAAATCGAAGACTCGATCCCGGGGAGGGAGCACAACAATTTTACCTCCGAATCCGTCAGCCCGCGAACGGCAGCTTTTGCTGGAGGCATGGCGGAGGTAGGCCAAAGCTATCCGATGTCTACCTAGTTTCCTACTACTACTACTATACCTAATGTTTGAAACCAGGCCGGCCTGATGCCGGTTTCCTGGCGAGAAACTGTGGGAGCCTCAGAGCGCGAAAACCTGCACCCTGCTCCAAAGTTTGAAAAAAAGTACAAAGTAAACGGTACGTAGGTAAAACGATTCAACATTTGGGCGCACACATTCGTCAGCATGTACTTTTAGGTCCTGTGGTGGTCATCCACCGATATAATGAGAGTGCGATCTATATCTGATCGTCCTCATCTACGTCCACTGTTGATTCACTAGCCCATCTCCTCTTTCTGGTCATGTGCGGGGCTAGGAACAACTCAGGCTAACATGGGACAGAGACAGTACGAACCATGCGGAATCACACAATAACACAAACAGAACTATCGAGTCCAAGTAGGCCTTGACAGATTATGCTAATATTGTCGTGAAAGTATGCTTTTCGCGTTGCTGAAAAAATTGCAGAATTATGCTATTTTTATGCTAAAAGTTATCATATTATTCCGCATTATGCTCACATATGCTGCTAATGTATATGATGGTTCTGTGCAAAATAACAGGTGAATTTTTTTGTAGAGGGCGTTGTACTGTAGTAGCAAAAGTTCAACGGGGTCAACGCACCGTCCGACCTAGCTACAACCGTCACCCTGGTCACTGATTGTAGTGGACTGGACATGTTATCAAGGGAGTCGTAAACTTACGCCTTCCTGGTGCGTCTACTTGTACTTGTACCGTACTTGTAGAACATGTACAACTGTATGGAATTTGATGCGAACAGGCGGATTATTCCAATTTATGCGATTCATATGCAATTTGCCTCGAATTATGCGATTATTCGATTATGGTAGGAATTATGCGAAAAATTATGCTAGCATAATCTGTCAAGGTCTAAGTCCAAGAAGATTTACGATACCACTGAAGAGGCGGACGGACGTGTAATCGCTGGCACTGGAGGTGAGAACGACCGTGAACGCCAGGAAACCAAGCAAACTAGATACAGAGGCAATGCCAATTGGAAGAGTAACTCGGAGAAGCAAAGGCACAGGGAATAATTGAGGAGACCTGGGAAGGGCGACTTCAGAGGTGTTATAAACAGTTACATCAGAGTCAGGAAAGCATTCGTAGGCAGTCAAGAATCACTTATAATTCAGTTCTAGTTGTCGTCAACTTGTAGCCAATAACACACAACTACTCAAGTTGAACATTTCCGTTCCCAAAATACACAGGAATCATTATTCGAAGTAGTTCAATTTGTGTTTACTATGGCGGCGGGGCATATATTGGCCCGACTTCTGCGAAAATCAGGCTTGGGTTGAAAATCATTTAATTGAGAAAAATGATGTTTTGTAAAAGTTTGTGTCCCGTGTAGGCACGTTCGAGTGCAACGAAGTGCAACCAAAGAAAATCTCGCTTGTTTGAAGAAGTAGTAATCATGGCAGGAAGGGTTTCAGCGCTCAGGGAAGGCATAGGGCTTCTGGTAGAATATTTGCTCATATCCCATAGTAGTAAACCATGAATTCAGCCAATCAGCAGCCGGTATTTTCGATGAATATAGCATGCTATTCCCGGAATTGACTCCAATTATTGCTTGTTTGTTGTGATTTCTTTGTGAGATTCATGCTCTGGATGACATTCATCATGGCCGGTGTGGAACCATGACATCCGGTGATAGTCCTAATGTTGCGAAATTCCGTTCGACTATTTTTTACACACGTTGTTGTATTTGGTTCTTTAGCCGTAGAGTCCAGTGTCTGATGTCATGATATGTGTAGAGTCCAGTGTCTGATGTCATAATATGGTCTAAAAGTAATAATATAGGAACTGTTTGGCATACAAGAATCCGTACGCAGACTTATGACTGTTAGCATGGCTCAGTGGAAGGTTGACCGTTGGAATGCACCTTGAGATCTGCGGCCATTCAGCATGGAATTTTCCAGGGGGACTCCATATCCCAACTGCTGTTCGTCATCTGCCTCATACGACTACTCCATTCAGCTCTGAACGGCCACAACATCATCACAGCCATCAACACCTGGGCTGTGGCTATGATACGGTATAGTGCTGGTATTTAGAAATGGACGCAAGATGATTTAAACCTGCTGACCGAAGAACGTGCAAGCATCTGACTATGCATGGAGCTCTCGATCCACGCGCTTATGTAGCTCGCATGTACATCAGTCGCAAGGAGGGTGGACGTGGTTTGCAAAGTATCCATGATGTTGTCACCATGGAGAAAAGCAATTTGCAGCGTTATGTGCTTCAGTTAGATACGGAACTCATGAAGCTTGCTGCACCCATTCTGTGGCCACATCTGGATGCCCCACCAGATAACTCACAGGTAGTGAAGTGCGGCTTCAAAAAGAACATATCTTGGCGTAGACCCAGAAACCCTTGCATGGGTAGTTTTTTCCGGCAAACAGAACAACTGACCAACGAGAATACCTGGAGTTGACTGACAAAGGCTGGTCTCAAGAAGACCACGGAGAGCCTGATCATCGCGACACAACACCAGCGCTGATGTAGCCCGTATGTACATCAGTCGCAAGTCTCAAGAAGATCACAGAGAGCCTGATGATCGCGACACAACACCAGGCCTTGGCAACTAACCTGCTCAAGGCCCAAATCTTCCATCAGGCCGGCAGAAGCCCCCTGTCTCAAATGCGTGGGAAGGCAGGCGAGTCGGTTGCCCATATCCTATGCGAGTGTTCAAAGCTCGCTGGACGGAATTACTTGGAGCGTCATAATCGGCTGGCCTGTGCGTGTACATGGGATACCTTGTGAATACGAGTGCTACAAGCACCACTGTGATCGGTCTAAGAGCATCATGCACCCGCGGGTAACGTGCCTGAAACAAGAGATACTTTGGACGCCAACATCTCTCCCCAGGACCAGAAGATCAAGATTCTGTGGGATTTCACCATCTGGTGCGATCGCTTCATTGAGCACCAGAGGCTTGATATTGTTCTGATTGATTTAAAACAAACTCCCAGTAAAGTCGCATTTTTGTCTGAAATGTTCCTGAACGCTCCATGGATTCACCTCGAATGTCCCGTTCTTTCTTCTTCAAAAAATTACGGTGCCCACTCACACTTCGAACTGGGCACGGCACTTTCAAGACCTGACCAGCCTAGCCTGCAAGATCTCTAGTGGCAGGCACGGGTGCCGGCTGTTCGAACTGCACTGCAGAGTCGAACCGTGCTGTACGCAGACCTGCAGTCTATGCCGTCGAACGTTTTTTGCGGGAAACGTCCTTTTGTCTTGTTTTTGAGCTTTATTATTTTATTGTTATTATTTATTCTTCTTTTACTAGGGAATTCCCAACAGGCGTCAGCGCCTTTTTACAGGGAACCCTAGGTATAATTTGATGGATGAGCGAAATTCAGCTGGTGAACTAGACATGCGGCAAGCCGGTGGAAGTGTATTCCACCTGGCAGCGCCCAAATAAGAAATTGCACTAAAGCCATATCGGGTGTTAGCGGGGGGGGGGGGAGCAGAACAAGAGCAGCAGAGACTTGGCCACGGGTGGTGGCTGCAATGCGAGCACCATGGGGGTGCAAGGTAAAGCGGTCTCGCAGAAGAGGACTAGCAAGTCCATTCAGGCAGCGGTAAACAAATACATAGGTTTTGAAGTTGAGGCGTTTCTCAAGGGCGTACAAGTTAGTATGACTGTATAGAAGAGTGGTGGGAGTCATTCTATCCAACGAAAATATTCTCTTTAATGCTACGCGGCTGGCAGTAAGAAGCTTGTCATATAGGGTTTGTGATAAGCAATGAATATAATTCAGTGCTGCCAAACTCAAATGTGGACTGAATGATCAATAAATAGAAAAGTCGTTTGCCAAAAATGCTGATATTCTGCTTTGCATGGACAAATGCTCCGACCTTCCTATTGTCATTTGCACATACTGCATCCACTTGGGTTGAGAAAGACAGATGTTCGTCAACCAGTATTCCTAAGTACCGAGCGTAAGCAGATGGGACTATGGAAGTGCCCCGGCAGTTGACTGCGGTGCCAGGTGGCAGCTCCGTGCCCGGTCGCCGGAGCAGAACTAACTGAGTCTTGGACGGGTTTAACACCAGTCCCTTCCGATCTAGGTAGAGATCCAGAGCGGCAAGGTAATCACTCAGCTGGGTTGTGATGATCTGGATGGACTTGTGCTTGATATAGAGTGTGATATCATCGGCATAAAGTTGATTCAATGCATGTTGGAAGCACTGTGGTGCATCACGGGTGTAAATGCAAAATAGCAATGGGCCGATCACGGAGCCTTGTGGGACGCCTCTTGTGCAAGGGCGGACCCCAACTAGCTGTTGTCCTACTCTTACTCGCTGAACGCGTCTGGTCAGGTAGCTTGCAAACTAAGCAAGTGCAGTCTCAGCACTGCCAAGCATCTTCAACTCGTCAATGAGCTCTTGATGCTTAACTCGGTCAAAAGCTTTGCTCATATCTGCAAACACTATGCCGCAGTACTCGTTGTTATCAAGGGCTTTGAGACATTCGTCGCCCACTAGCGCTAGGCAATCCTCCCACGAGCTGTTGGTACGGTAGGCACGTACATGATGTTGTGTAACTTAAAGATTGCAATCAGCTGCTCCAAGACAACTCGTTCTATCTTGCTGCATATGGGCAATAATGAGACTGGTCTGTAATTAGTAGAGCTTTCTGTATCGCCTGATTTGAAAACTGGGCTGACTGTGGCATTCTTGAAAATATCTGGTACGCACCCTGTGCTCAGAGATTTATTGATAATATCAGTGAGAGAAACTGCTATGGAATCACGACCATGCTACAGTACGGCTGGTAAGACGTTGTCAGAGCCAGGTGACTTACTTGTGTTTAGAGCTATTCAGGGATTTTGAGAGAAATCCATGGATTCTGCATGTTTTGTCAAGGTATAGAGATTTTGGTGGTTGGCCAGTATGGATTTGTTTTAGCTTTATTACTGCTTGTTCTTTGTGGTTTCTTTTTGTCTTTCCTGTTGTCTTTTCGTTTGACCTTAGTTTTCCATTCTCCTCCTGTGCCTTCGTCATTTGTTGTAATAATAATAAGAATTGAGACACAATCTAGAGTTTGCGTTGTTGTGTGGCGGGGACCAGGGGGAGAACAACACTATTCCCATCTCACTAAGACCCCATCCCAATTAGCAAAGGGACGTCCGACTACAGCTGACAATCA